GGGGGGGGGCGGGGCTGGAGCTGGGCAACCCGACTGGAGTTTCCATGGATGCCCAGCCCTCCAGCTCCTGGCTCAGCAAGAACCGCCACAGGCGCAGGGGCATTCACACACCCGTGCCACCTGCCTCTTGCCTGCTGTCCCCGCCTAGAGAGCCTCTGCTTGGCTCCCTGCCTGGCTCCAAGCCACCCAGTGAGAGAACTCGGGGTCCACGCTCCCACATTCAGTGGGCAAACGCCTCCGGAGAGGAAGTGGATGGCTAGGGCCCTGAATGACGGCTGAAAGGATAGGGCCCTGCTGGGAGCAAAAGGGGTGGGATCCTTGGCCTCTGGCTAAAGGGGTGCAGCCCCCAAGACCACAGCCCCTGAGCCCCCTTTCTCCAGGGCAGCAGGTCTCCCTGGTCCCTAGAAGCTGTCCTCTGGCACCCTAGGTCCCCCGGCTGGACCGGAGGTCAAGGATCACAGCCCAGCAGGAAACCTGCTCAGGGACCAAGGTGTGGCTCGGAGACCCTCGGTGGGAACTTCCAGGTCAGGAGCTGGGATGAGGGGTTTCCCCATCCAGGTTCCCAGCAGTGCCCCCCACTTCCCCGCCCTTCCTGCCAAAGGAGACCATGCAAATCAGCCATTTCTGCCCGGGAGTTTCCAGCCCAGCCCCACCTGTGCCCCAGCGTCATGTCAGGCAACCCCAACCCCAAGGAGACCCGGAAACTCCTGGCCCGGACCTTCCCAAGCCGGGTCTGCACAGGGGGCTTCTACGGGCGTTCTGTGCCCTTTGGACCTTCCGGAGGCCGCAGAGCCCGTGGCATTGCCTGGACAAGCCTGAGGTCACCTCCCTCAGCTCCTCAGACAGTGCCAGGCATGTCCTGGCAGTGAGGTGCCCCAAAGTTTGCTGCCCAATCCCTGCCTGTCCCCTCCCCCCCGCCCCGCGGGGAGCAGTAGGGGGCACAGTGAACCAAGACAGGCAGGAAGCCCAGGCAGGGCGGGCACTGTGGGCCAGGCAGACAGCCTGCACAGGAAACCACAGCCCACCCCACCCACCCCACCGCCCCGAGCCTGGGAGAGTGGAGGGCCCAGCCTGGTCCCCAAACAGGGCAAGGGCCAGGGGTCACCCCGGGGCAAGGGAGGAGCCAGCAGTCCTCCAGTCCCCTCTCTGCCCCAGACCCTACCTGGGGAGGGGAGGAAGCCAAGCTGGCAGGCATGGTGCTGCCTCTTTAAATCCACCGAAGTCCTGAGCGAGGCCCAGCCCAGCTCTGGTTTCACAGGAAGGAAGGAGCTGGAGCCAGTGGGGCAGGCGGTGGTGGCGGGATCAGCCCCCCAGCCCAACTGTAGCTGGCCCGGCGGTGCCCACCGGCACTTCCTGGCCCCTGGCACCTGCACCAAGGTGGGGAGGAGGACCCAGTGCTGCTCCCTACCCTGGGGAGCACCCCGCTCTCTAGAGCGGCCCTTGCCGGGCACAGGAGGGGAGAGGTGACTTCCCAGGCCTGTGTCCCGAGAAGAGAGCAACCTGTGGGCCCGCACGGGGCCTCTGGCCTCCGAGGGGTTAATCTGGCCCCTGGCTGGGGGTGGGTGGAGGTTAGGGGTGGCCTAGGCACCTCCTCCAAACTGCCTGGCTGCTGGGAACAATGGGGCCATTGTGGGAGGAGAGGCGGCAGCAGACTTGCTGGCACAGCCGCCTGTACCACAGGCAGGCCTCACCGCTGCCTCCTCGGCCTCTGCTCTCCCAGGTCAGCCATGGCCGGGACACCCCCCCACACCCCCACACCCCGCCTGCCTGGCCCCCGCTCAGCACCTGCAGCACCTGGAGGCCCTCGGGCTCTGCCCCTGTTCAAATCCAGACGCTGACCCTCCAGGAAGCAGGGCATGTGGGCAGGCGGGTGGGGGCGGGGCGGATGGGACAGGATGTGTGATCCTCCTGCCGGGACGACAGGAAGGCCAAATGGGGAGGCCGGTGTCGGTCCTGGCACCCGCGGGCAAGGAGAGCTCAGGGCATTAGGAGAGCAGTGACTGGCAGGGTCCCCTGGGCCCAGGCCTCCCTTCCCACACGCATTCCCTAAACCTGTTCCTGAGGGGTCCAGCGCCAGGGCCCAGGGGCCAGGACCTGCGGGCAGCGGGCGGTGCAGGGACTGAGAGCTGGGTGTAGTCAGGGGGAGGTGCCAGGCACAGCCCTCCCCTCTGGGCAGCAGGACCTTCTCCACCCCTTCGGCCCTTGGAGCCCGTTTCCCCGTCTGCAAAAGGAGGACAAATTCAGAGTGAAATCCTGTTAGTAAAACTATCTAACAGAATGCCTGTGGCGGCCGGCCAGTGTGACTCAGTGGTTGAACGTCAACCTATGAACCAGGAGGTCGTGGTTCGATTCCTGGTCAGGCCACATGCCCGGGTTGTGGGCTCGATCCCAGTAGGGAGCGTGCAGGAGGCAGCCGATCCATGATTCTCTCATCATTGATGTTTCTATCTCTCCCCCTCTCCCTTCCTCTCTGAAATCAATAATATATATATATTTTTTTTTAAAGAATGCCTAAGGCATACTCAGCCCTCACAAACCACTTCTGACCATGACGTCCCCTTTTTCCGGCCTGAATGGCACCCACATCCATGGGCATTTGGTGAGGTTAGGCCTTGCCGGGTATTTGTCCTTGACCTACCCAGGAGCCCCTGGGGTCACACTGGTGGCCTGAGCACAGAACTTGGCCCTCCCTCTGCACCCCTCGCAGAGGCCAGGCACCGGCGAGCACTCCCCAGGCACCCCCTGGGTTTACTGACAAACACGCAGACCTCTAGTGTGAACCCTGAGAGCAGCAGACCACTCGCTTAGCCTCAGGTCTGTGTCTCAAAACCACTGGAGGCAAGCATCCCAGTGCCAGGCCCCTCTCTCTCCTGACCCAGGCAGTCTCTCTGTTTGGGCTGAGTCAGAGCTGGCGTCTACTTTCTTGCCATGGACCTCTTTAAACAGTGGGGGGGTCGGCCCTGGCCAGTGTGCTCAGTGGTTAGAGTGTCGACCCTCAGACTGACGGTGGTCAAGGGCAAGTACCTCGGCTGCAGGTTGGATCCTGGCCCTGGCTGGGACGTGTGTGGAAAGCAGCCAATCAAAATGTGTCTCTCACATTGATGTTTCTCTCTCCCTGTCTCTCTCACTCTCTCTAAAAATCAATGGAAAAAATAGCCTTGGGTGAGGATTAGCAACAACAACCACACAACAGTGGAGGGTCTGAGAGGGAATGAGGAGCAGCTGGGATACACAGTTCTGGAACCTAGGGGTCCAAGACCTGTGCTCTTCTCAGCTAGAGGGGCTGTCCCTCCCAAGGTGGCTCCACACGCCCCCAATGGGTTAACAAACCCTAAAAATAACCTGCTCCCAGCAGGACCCACCGAGTGGGACCCACCAGCCATCTGTTCCCATCTCTCCTGTTCACACTGGAGCATCTGAAAGCAGCCCAGGGCCCCAGCTGATCCCAAAAATAGCCCCAACCT